AAAGAAAGAACAAAACAAAACTTTGTTTTAATTTTTAATTTTAATTTTTAATTTCATTTCTCAATTTCAGTGTTAATTTTTAATCTTAGCTGACAATTGTTTTGTTAGATTAAATTGAAAAATAAATGATCTAAAATGTTACGGAAGAAAAAAAGGAAAAAGAAAACGAAACTATGATAAGTTGCTTAATGATATTGATTTTATTTTATTTGTACTACTTAATTAATCATAAATTATGCTATATTTATATTAATTTAACAGAATATTACTAATTAACAGTTAATCAACAATGCTAACTACTTAATTAATCATAAATTATGGTATTTTTATATTAATTTAACAAAATATTGCTAATTAACAGTTAATTAACAATGCTAACTACCTAATTAATCATAAATTATGGTATATTTATATTAATTTAACAAAATATTACTAATTAACAATGTTAACTACTTAATTAATCATAAATTATGGTATATTTACATTGATTTAACAAAATATTACTAATTAACAATGTTAACTACTTAATTAATCATAAATTATGGTATATTTACATTGATTTAACAAAATATTACTAATTAGCGACTAATTAACAATGCTAACTACTTAATTAATCCGGTATATTTATATCAATTTAACAAAATATTACTAATTAACAGTTAATTAACAATGCTAACCCTAATAGCGGTTGATGCATTGCAAAATCGTCGTTTACATTTCGGATTTGAATAAATCAATAGAAAGCAATCAATAGCTGATGTAACAGTTAAAAATACCGATAAAGATTGAGCGGTAAGACCGATCGGGAATGCTATTGGTGTAAGAATTGCAAAAATTTCTGATAATATCAATGATTTATAGCGTAAATTTTCGATAAAAAATAAAAAAAAAGCGGTAAGTATGATAATCATATCAGATATTGCTAATGCACATAGGTAAATATTCGTTGAACTGTAAATTAATTAAATTGAAAAAAAAAAGAAACAGAATTAATTTAAATTATTAAAGTAAATAAGTAAATAATCAAAAGGAAAAACAAATATAAAACTGTATGGTAGGAATGTGAATATAAATTAAAAAATGAAAAAATGAAATTTAAAGAATTCATTAATTGTTTGATTTATTGAACGAATAGAACAGCATTGATCGAATTATTTAAGCTAATTTAAAATTGATAATTTATTTCGGATATCATGTAACATGCTAATTATGTATCATGTAACATAAGCATTTAAGATTTAATCAATTTATTGGTTTTGATCCCATAATAACAAGTATATCTAATTTGCATTAATTTCATTCTTCCTTCCATCACTTATTAATTTTAATTATTTAAAATTTCTATTTTCATTTTAATATTTAAAAATTTATTTTAGTATATTTTGTCATTTTTCATAATTCTAATGATTTTTAAATTAATTTCATATTTAAAAAAAGAAGAGTGTATATTTGTATTTACTTATTCATTTTTTATTTTTTTAAAATAAAATAAACCTTCGCATAGATTTTCGACTATAAATAAAAGCCGAAATGCCATTTCCACACAAACCAAATAATCCAATTACTGGCAAGAATATTCTAATAATAATCTGAAGAGTAACGTTAAAAAAAAAGAAAAAAAAAATGAAAAAAATTGAAAATAATTTTTAGACAATTTTTTTGGACTTTTTTTTAAATTTTTAGAAATTTTTTAATCAATATTTTTCAGGCAAATTATTATTCAATTATTTATGCAAATTTCTTTTTTTTTACATACGTTTAATCATACATTTTTGTAGATGGTATATTTTTATCATTAAAATTACAAATTTTCTTTTTTTTGCGAAATTATAAGAAAATACAATAGTTGACAACAGAATGAATCACTTATCAATTCATTTTTATCCTTAAAATTTTTGTCATTTTATGATTTGTTAATTATAATAAGCTACAAATATCAAAATGATAACTTTACAAACGAATATAATGATTTACTTAAATTTAAACATAATCAATTGATATAATTATTCGAATTAGCTGTAATCAAATTATCTATAAATATTAGCTATAAATGAAAATCTTCAATTTTCTCTTACAGTACAATCATTTAATCAGTTATTTTTGATAAATGATTAATTGATAAGTTATGTTTATCAATTTATCAGTTCAATTCCATTCCAAATAGTATGATCACTTAAAAATGAAAAACTCTTTTCAATTATTTTCAATTATCAATTTAATATTAAATCATACCATATTATATAAATCATAGTTATTGCTTGATTCAAGTGTTATATTAAAATCGTAACAGTATCCACAAACTGGTAAACCGTAACAGTAACCATTACTTTTGGTTACATTAGTACATATGGAATGATTAATTGAATCCATTAATTGAAACTAATAATCCATTCAATTAATTTATCCTGATAAATTATTTTAAATTATCCGAAAAATAAATTTATTTCATAATTTATTAAAGCTTCAAGAAAAAAAAAAAACAAAAAGATTAATAAAATATTATACAATTACATGGCATATTTATATTCCTCTTATAATTTTAATCTTATAATTTTGTATTCATTTTAATTTTAAAATTATACACACCGAAACGCTGCTTATTAATTAATTTTCACATCTATTTGTGTATTTAATTAATTTTTAATTTATTAAATTTAATTCGATTTAATGAATAATCGTAATTAGATTGCAACAATAATTATAACAATAATCTTTCAATGGTCGAATGAAACGGTGTTAAATAATCTGAAAGAAGAAATTTGATATTGTTCATGAAGAATTTTATTAATTAAAAGCTATTTTTATTAATTATTTTGCATCAATTATACATTAAACTTAACCAATATTAATTTCTTTAATTTTTTATTTCTTTTTTTTTTTTTTAACAAACATAAAATTTTTAAATTTATTTAAGCAATTTTTTGGATGTAAAAGAAAAGAAAAAAAGAAATTGTTGAAAAGATGTAATAGGAGAAATAGTTATTTGAAGGAAATGAAAGTATTTACTATTTATTATTTTGCGCAATTTCCTTTTCCATGCATTATTTGTCGATAGAAAGAGGAAAAAAAAGAAAAGAAAAAAGAAAAAAAAAAGGAAATAGCATTTTAAGCATGAAAACACAATACTTAAATATAATTATTAAATCGTTTTTCTTTAAATTTAAAATATTTAATATTTAATTATTGCATATTTATTGCAAATGTATAATTGACAAATAATATTTGTTATATCATTCATCGAAATATCAAGGGTTTGCATTTTAGAAAAAGGAAAAAAAGGGAAAGGAAAAGGAAAATTAGCTAGAAAATTGTATTTCTTTTTTGTAAATAATTTAAAATAGAAATTATCTTTAAAAAATATAATTAAATAAAAATATATAATATTGTCAACAATAACGACAACAACAAAAAATTTCAATCCCATTTTGCTTTAAAATTACTATTTTTTTTTTTTGAAATTCATTATTTTTAGCTTTTTTTTTCAATGTAAATTTTAATTTATAAATGACAAAATTTTGTTTGTTTCATTTCATTTTTATGATATTTTTATTTGCTATTTCTTTCTTTTCAATTATTATCATCGAATGATAATAACTTGTGATAAATTAAAAATTACAATGCAACATTGCATCATTGCATGTTTACACAGCTATTTGATCATATACGTACTATTAAATTATTAAAATTATTAAAATTATCAAATCAACTGAGTGATATTTCTTGATAAAATAAAAAATTACCTTTATTTTTGCATTTTTTTTTCCAAAAAAAAATAAGAAAATGAACTTAAAATGAAAAACAAGAAAAGAATTTTTCTTCAAAATTTTATGAATAAAGAATTTTCATTGTAGAAAAAAAAGTTGTAATATAAAATTTTTTCTTTGTTTTTTTTCTTGAAGAAAAAAGATATTTTGCTTATTCGGATTTACTAATTGGATAATTATCAAATAATAAATGTATTGATTAAAAATTTACAGATGAATATTTAAATTTGAAAAATTTGATATAATTATTAGCATACCAAAATTATCGATGACTAATTCGTCTACCAGAAGAGTACATGTATTTTTTAAGCCTATGGTAGTACGTAACAAACGTGACAACGTTTGACAAACATGACAAACTTGCTAAATTACAAAATAATCTTAGCAACATATAATTTAATGTAATTAGTTAATATCATTTACATTGCAGTTTTTAAATTTTTGCTCACTGTAGATGTTGTGTAATATTCATTTAAAGTATGTTGTAAGTTTCAATGTATCATCCATTTATTAATTATCCCTTAATGAATTTTGCTAATTATCCGATTTCATCAATGGTAAAAGTTGGTTGCAATTTGCTATTTTAACATCCTTTAAATTGTCACCTGTAATATATAGGTGACAAATTTTTGTTAACCTAAATAAAATCAAAAAAAATATGGTAAAATATAGTTTGAAAATTAGGATAATACGATGAGTACTATGAAAAGTTTAATATACCGTAAGCAATGGCAATAAATAAAAAGTATTGCATAAGTTATCAGATAATGATAATTTTCACAACCGTTCGATTGTTATATGATCGATCGGCAACATCGAGCATTTCATATAATTTTAATAAGTTGATATATTTTTATTCATAATTTCAAATTCAAAATTCAAAATCTCATTTTTTTTAATATTTGATTTCTTATTCCTTTTATATAAATACAAAATGATAATTCATTCGCAATGATATTTTCAACAATTATCAAAATTTTTATACTTAACTTAATACTGCTATACTTAATATTTATTATTTATCATTAAAATCCTGGAAAAAATCCCAAAAAAACTTTCATTTACTTGCTATTTTATTGAGTAATTTTTGCTTTCAAACAATAACCTGAAACAATTAATTAGTATTTGAAAATAACAATTACTGTTATAATTACTAAATTAATAGATTTCATTTTAAATAAAAACTTTTTCGAATCATAATAATTAAATTATAGGTCTAAAAATTAAATGTATTTGCAAATTAAGCATTTTTTTTTTATTTGAAAATGATTGAACAAAATCATTTGTTTAATCTATGAGATATTTTTAGATTGGAATTTTTGAATTTTAACAAGAAAATGATCTCAATCATTAAATTAAAGTTCATTACTGAATTTCATATTTCAGATTAAAAATTATAAAAGCTCAAGAATTCATATAAATATGTTATTTATCACAAATAAAATCAATAAAAAAAAAAAAAAAAACATTTCAATTTCATAAAACTCAATGAGCATGAAAATAAAATTTTAGTAAATTTCGCATTTCAGGTTAGAAATTACACAGTAAAGTAATTTTCTCATTTGTTTCTCTCTCTCTCTCTCTCTCTCTC